GACTTGACGCACCAGCTGACTTGACGCACCAGCTGACTTGACGCACCAGCTGACTTGACGCACCAGCTGACTTGACGCACCAGCTGACTTGACGCACCAGCTGACTTGACGCACCAGCTGACTTGACGCACCAGCTGACTTGACGCACCAGCTTCCCTCGGCGCCCTCCCCAACAAGTGTGTCAACGTGACCCACCTTCACGGTTGTGGCTATGAGTTGTGACCGTTATAATGGGCAGATGCTAGGCTTGCCCACTATTTCGGTGCACAAAACATAACCATGTGTGATCTACACAAGGTGCGGTCCACACATGTGTGATGCGGTCCACACATGTGTGATCTACGAGAGGTGCGGTCCACACATGTGTGATCTACGAGAGGTGCGGTCCACACATGTGTGATCTACGAGAGGTGCGGTCCACACATGTGTGATCTACACAAGGTGCGGTCCACACATGAGTGATCTACACAAGGTGCGGTCCACACATGAGTGATCTACAGGAGGTGCGGTAACGTCAAGAGCCACATTTGGAAGGAAAATATTGATCATGTTTTCTTCAAGCTCTGTTGTATAGGCTCGTGAAATTCAACTCGAGTTCAAGTGAATGCCTGCGGCACCACAATACTGTTTTACAATCATGTTAACTCGTGACAATATAGGCAAACAGACGGAACACGTCCAACGTTACATCCGGGACCCGAGGGCGGGGTGACCTGCCTAGCGACGACTCGGAGACGGTGGACGACGAAGGCGGCGCATCAGCGTGACTGGGGACTAGGAAGTCCCGAACTCATCATAAGGTCATAAGGTCTGACGAATGTGGCTGATATGTAGTTGAAAATATTGTTCTTTTAATTCGACTCATAATTGCATCTGTTCCTTCATTCTGAATTAGGCTTTGACAAGGACTGTGATAACGTTCACTTCCTTTCTATACTCATGATTGAGATTAGATTCTGGTCAAGCAATATTAACTCTTGATAGAAATATCAACGCAGGATAAGGTATAGCTTCTCGTAGCGATGTACCTCGTACGCATGCATCACCTGCTTTTGTTCGCATGTTGTTCTCATGTAAATCAGATGACCTAAAAGGTCTTATTAAATAGTGTGCTCTCCGAACGATATATCATATTCATATTTTTATTCATATTCATATTTTTATTCATATTCATATTTTTATTCATATTCATATCTATATTCATATTCATATTCACCACTACACTACCAGCCACTACCAGCCACTACCAGCCACTACCAACCACGAAATATTACATGTTTTCAATATTATTATAATTTTATAAATATTATTATGTTATGCTGCAGTTTATTATTTGTATTTCCAGAACAACGGTGACAGCGTTAGTCATATATTATTATATATGATTCGTATATAATATGACGAGCCTATAATATTCGCAGCTTTTTCAAGCAGCAAAGATGCTTGCAGCCTCCTGGAAAATTTTAAAATATGTTATTAAAATTTTATCTTTGAAATGTCTTTCAGTCCCTGAAATATGTCATATTGAAATATTATCTTCACCGTTAAAACAATTTTCAATCTACACTATTTGGGTGAAAATAGTTTCGTGTGTTTCCATAGTTTCGCATGGTTCGATAGTTTCGTGCGTTTTGATAGTCTTAGAATTTAATAAAGAGACAATGAAACAATTGAATGAAATTTTATTTCAAACTTGAGTCAACCCTCGTAAAATCCAATTAATAAATACTGAAAATCGGCGGAATGTCCGACGTGACAAAGGTCGGAAAACTGGTGTCGGTAGCGCAGTTAATCTCGTCCCAACATAACTGTATTATCACAAAAATAGCATTCACTATTGTAATTAAGAAACGTTGTATTACAACTCAAAATCACAATAATGTACAATAAATTCTAAATGACAAAGCAGGAATTTTACATACCCTAAACAACGAGAATAAACCTGTATCAACAAACTATAGGTGTCGGTTGATACTCGCGACAAACTAACCGGTGGGTCCCATCAGATTCACTATTATTCTATAGAAACAAAAAGGTAAAGGTTTTAAAATAGACAGGGATTAAATTATAAATTAAATGAAACTAAAGATTTGTCTCACTGTTCAAGTTTGTTTCCACGTAAGCACCTCTCATAAAATTCTTCAGACACAAAGCGGTAATGCGGTAATTTTAAAAGGCAATTTAAGGGGCTAAAGGCAACAATTAATGTGAACGGAAAGACAGACTCCAAAATAAATAATATAATAATAAAGAACCCAGCTTCCTCATGAGGTTGGGAATATATTCACGTTATTTACATAAGAAGTCACACGCAAGGCTCGAAAGTTAAGGTCGCCGTTCCACAGTAAAAGGCAAAGCCCAAAATTAACACTATTAAACTAATAGGTATAATGCCAAAATTAAACTAATAGGTATATTGTCTTGTCCAGCTCTCGCCTTGTCCAGGTCTTGTCTTGTCCAGCTCTCGCCTTGTCCAGGTCTTGTCTTGTCCAGCTCTCGCCTTGTCCAGGTCTTGTCTTGTCCAGGTCTTGTCTTGTCCAGGTCTTGCCTTGTCCAGGTCTTGCTTTGTCCAGGTCTTGTCTTGTCCAGGTCTTGTCTTCAAAAGAGGCCGCCCGAACAGGGACTCGAACCCTGGACCCTCAGGTTAAAAGCCTGATGCTCTACCGACTGAGCCATCCGGGCCATACCAACTGAGCCATCCGGTCCAGGTATTGTCTTGTCCAGGCTGATCTGAAAAAAGATTATCCCTATCTATCTTTTTTTGTTGGGGCATTGTTGTGATAGACTTCAGGAACTGCAGACGAACGTCGTATTTTTTTATCGTTTCATAAGAATCCTTATCTAAATACCGGCCTGAGTGACAATTTAGTTTCCAACACTTTTTTAAATTATAAGTGACACCTTGGTCTTTGCACTGTTCATTCTACATAGAATTAACGCACATCGTCGCATCTTCCGTCAATGCTCGACTGCACTCCTATATTTCCAATGGTGGTAGGTATATCATGCAGTTCAGAACCAATCAGCTGTCAGAAAGTCAATATTATTATAACCGACTTCTGATCTTCAAAGGTACATAATGGTCCAAAAAAGTTAATAATGATTCACAGCTCCTCACATGTTACATATCAGTCAATGTCATGATTTCGTGACGTTATATTCACTTTGTTGTGATGTAAGGCCGATGAGAATATGATGCTAGGAGAATTATTAGCTTGTAGACGCTCAAGAAATCATGCATACAGTAAACATGTTCAAAATATTTTGTCGATAAAATGGATGAATAATTATTAATTATCACTAAGATGAACATGAGAGGGTGAATAATTTAGTGGATGAGTAAAATAAGTATACATTTGTAACACAATGAGTATTATGTATGAGTAGATATCCCAAACATTATGAGTATCATGAGATGATATCCACAACAATATGTTGTGATTATGTGACACATGATTAGCTATCACCAAAATTTTTAGGAATATGATTTAAATTAACACTATGAGTTCAAGAACAGACTTGAAAAAGCTCTGGAGCATATGTTCAGTCTTAAAATGCCTAGCACCTTACGAACCAGGCAATAAGTCCAGCATCTATCTCTATCAATCGTCAGTTATGGAGAGATCGGATTCCAAAGGCCGGATATCTTGTGAAATCAAGTCACGAAAAGGACAAGAATCGGTAACTGGCTATGGACCCATTTCTTCGGGGCCGTTCAATTTTATCACTACGAGATATCACTAAAATTATACATAAGATTGGGATCTAAGGCACTCAATGGGATTCAGGATCAAGACATTTGGGCTTGGAGCCCAAACATTGCGCTTGGAATCCAGACATTTGTGCTTGGGGCCCGTACAATTGGGGCTTGTGATCCAGACAGTTGGAATTTGGGCCCAAACTCGCCCCTGATGTCAGCGGTAGCAGTTGGCTTGCCACTTCAGATCTGCCTTTATTTTATCATCTCGCTAGTGTTGATCAGTAACCCGGAGCAATTTCACTACAAGCATCTAAGAATTTGTTCAAACGCATTGAATATGTCGGTCCGTTCGTCAATTGCACTTTCGAATCAACATTGTAGCATATCATACGAAATTTTAACAATACCAAAAGCGGTGAGGTCAACTCAAAGCCCAGTTACGAACCTTGCTCCAACAATATCAGGTATAAGTACCATAATGAATGAATGAATGATTTTTGAGGCTCATCTACTTGGAAATTTACTCAGAATGCATCACGCCCTTGTATAGTGTTACAAAAAATTTGATATTATGAGTAGATATCCTCAACATAATACTGAATGGCCGATGCCTTGACCAATTTGCAAGAATAAATTAGGATTTCAAATCATTCTGAGTTAATTTTTAGATAAAATAACCGAAAATTTCCAGCCAACAATATTAAAGAAGAAAACTGTAGCTTCAATTCGATCGTTGATTTCGTTTATTTTCCTTACTGGAATTTCAAACTTGCAAGCTAAAGTCTGCAAAAATAGGATTCAAGACAGCTCAACTATTGCAATGAATAACCTTTCTGAGAATTGCGCAATCAGCTTCTCGAAGGGCATGCCCAGTTCTTTATAACGAGGTCGAGTGAAACTGAGGATGACTCATCCGACCACCAGAGACTGCTGGATGTCTCCAGATTTAGAACTTGTGTGACAAGGCTGTCTCAAGCTCATTTGTTCATTGAAAAATTGACGGTTTTATATATTTAAAAGGTTTAAAAAGAGATAATTTTAATAAGGTTCATATTTTTTTATCCGTACCCTGTTCTTTCGTATCTCATTAGTCAAAAGGTGCATTTCTGTTTAAATATATAGAGGCCACAAAAACTACTAGACTTTGTTTTCTTTTGGATAAAGATTCTGAATGCTTTGATTCATTGATAAATTTCAAGCTTCGTCGGTAGAACCTATGTTGATCGTGTTTCATTTGTTTTCTGAATGCACCAGGCAACTTTTGTGCAATCCAAGATCATGTCATTCATCGGCCTTATAGTTTCTGCTGAAGTTCGTTTAGCAGAAGTTAGCTAATGAGTTGTATTTTCTTTTCATTGACAGCGACATGCGTGTGTAATAGTAACGCTTCGACGATTTGAACACTAAATATTTACTAAGCCACCTGGCCTTCGTCATTGTTTTGTGTGATCTTTAATTTTTTTCATCGAATCTGAAGTGGATAATTTTAGACCGGGCTGCATGCAGGTGCGTGTTAACGTAGGGTTTTATTGCCTGTAGTTGTGGGTTTGACTTTTGAGTTGAGCTGTCTTTGATAGTTATTAATTGCAAGTTGCAACCGTTACGTAGCTTTAAAATTTTTGGTTGGTCATGTCAGAATTATCCCCAGAATTCACTGGTTGAAAATTTGAATTTCTTGATGTACCTCTTTATATAGGGCCTATTTGTTTCTATGTCAAGAAATTAGTTTCATCTGTGAATGTTACACAGTGAATCTAGTGTAAAGTATTAAAGAAGTATGTTACCTACACAATGCACAAAATTACTTTTTCCATTGATCATAATGAAAATTATACATATGGAAAAAGACATGGAAAAATATTATATAAATATAAGTAGGTAGAACACAAAAGTGAAAATGCTAGAAATTTTTTCCTTTATTTAGGTAATTAGGCTATGTCCCAAAAATGTATAAATTTTTGGTAATTTTTTGAAAGAAACTTACTAGGTTCTAGGTTTCCCCATGAGCTAACTTTGAAAATTTTAGCACCATTATATTGTAGGATTAGGATATCTATTTTAACTAAAATGAAATGTTTTGGTAAATTGGTTGAGACTTTGACTCCAGTCAGCTGAGTAGGTAGGCTAGCTAAGGTAGGGGAATTGGGAAATGAGTGTGACTGATATGAATGGTATTAATTCACCTATTCACTATTTCTATTATCATAACTCTAAACAAGGCAGAAAACAGAATAAATTTCAGTTTGGTAAATAAAGTTAAAATTAAAAAATATAAATGAGAAATAAATGATATATAGGGTAAATGCACCATATTCCAACACCTTGAGGACGTAGCAAGAAATAAATGGTTTTAAATAGATCACTGTATGCGCAACTTAAGTTCTGATTGGTTTATGTCACTCTCAAAACACCACAAGTATGCACCGCAAGTATGAAACGTCACAAACTGTTGCCATATTTATTTAAAAGCATTTAGAATTTAAATCTGAATTCTGACACTGTGTGTGAGTGTGTGACTAAATGCGGCATATTGTGAGAATTCCGACAGCGCTTCAAAATCGTAATTTGTAATTTTGACACCCTGTGTTGTAATTCTGACACTCTGTCAGAATACGACATTCTGTGTGTCGTAATTCTGACACCCTGTGTGTCGTAATTCTGACACCCTGTGTGTCGTAATTCTGACACCCTGTGTTGCCACACTCAGGATGATGTATGTTTTTGGTGAATTTTCCCGCGCATTTCCACTTTTTTAAGCTATTGCTGTGCACAGTTGGCGCAATGTAATGAAAATTGATTATCTTCGCGCACGTGTTTGCGCAATCCCGGCCATCTTTATTTTAGAAGAAATTTTCTCCAAAGTCATATGGCAACACTGAACACCGTCTGTTTACATTTCGTATGTATAACAGCCGCAGTTTACAATTACCGTACGTTCCGTATCCGACAAGGCGGACAACCGGAAGAGTCAGAAGTAACCCGGACATGTCTTACATTTTATTATTGTCAGTTCGACTCGCGTAGTCAATATACTTGCGTATATTGTAGACTAAAATAGTAGAACTATTTTAGCTTTCTAAAGTACGGCGCACGGCGCATTTTTTTACCAACGTAGTACGGCGCACCGCGCAAGTCGTTAAAATGACAAAATAAATTCCCGCGCACCTGGCACATCTTCCTGACCATGGCTGTGTTGGAAAGAAAATAATTTTGATGCCCTGTGTCAGAATTATTTTTTATGTCTAAAACTGTCTATTAAATCAATCATCTATTAATTTATTTACCACTTAAAATCAGCAAATGCAAATACCATCAACGGGGCTACTCGGGTCGGGTGGGGTAACTCGGGACAGTCCTCCGACATGGCGTAAAACTGTTTTAGTAGCAAAACCAATTGGAATATTGCAAAACTAAATATAGTGGTGTAAACATCAACATTTTTCCTATCTATGTAGTATAAAGGAAGTTAAAAAATACGACATTTACTAGCTTTGAAAAATTCCTGAAAAAAATGGTGAAAAACAATATTTTGAAAAGTTACTTCTGCTAAGGTCTGTAGTAAAAAATATTTGGCGTATTAAAAATTTTTGCTTAGAAAAAAGTGGCAGACAAGTGTCTGCATGAAAACTTTATTTGCGGAATTTACATACCTCAATCCAAAAAAAAATGGCAGCCATTTCTGCACGGCGGGGCTACTCGGGACACCCCCGGGGCTATTCGGGACACCCCCAAAAATGCATTTACAGTAGAACCTCAGTTAGCAAAGGCTCCAGTTAAGAAAAAAATTGATTAAAAACAAAGAATATTGATTACATTTACTTTGCTCAGCGAAAAAAATTTCACTTGTGGAAAAATTAGTGCATCAACAGTCATCACAAAATTGTGCATAGAATGTCATATATAGAATTGTGCACCAGGCATCATAGAATGAAAAGTAATTGGCCTAAACTATGATTTATTTCTCCAAAGCCTATGATGGTTGTCACTAAAACATTCCTTTCTGTTTCAGGTACGTTTTTCATGATCTTTTTTTATAGTAAATTCACTTAACCCAATTAAAATGATGTGAAATTATAAGCCGTCCTGTAAGCTTACAGATACAGAAAAAATGCTATAAGGCTACTGATATGAAGCTTGCAGTGGACTAGGTTGTTGTAAATGCTCAATGGCATGTTCATGGATACGGTATTCACATCAATAATACCGTAATATTGCATCAATAATTGGTAATTAATGTATATGGTAGTATCATTTCAATAAAGGAAAAACCAAGTAAAAATCACAGAAAATGTCATTTATTCTACCTCTACATTATCTACAATGAAAGAGGACTTCAGAGTACTGTTAGTAATGGATGAATACACTCTGCATGCTTCAAATTTTTTAAAATGAAGTTTTATTCCAAGTGTCCCGAGTAGCCCCGTTCGATGGAGCTACTCGGGACACTCTTTTTTTTGCTTCTGGCACCTTAAGAAAAGCATATGGATTTTTTTGGAGAAGCCATGTGATAGCCCTTGCAAAGAGCTTTGAAATGAGCCTAAACTTGTTTATGAAATGCTTCATGATAAGAAGTTATGAATGAAAAATGTTCGAAATCATCCCGAGTAGCCCCGATTGACAGTATACATAAAGGATTTCTAATATATTCATAGACTTATTTAAAAGTCTCAAACTATAATATTCTTTCTACAAAACAGTTTATCAGTATTTAGTAAAGCAAGGTCAACTATCAACTTTCATACGTGTTTTGATGTTCTCACTAGCTGACTTGGACTTTCTCTCAGCGGGTCTTAACATTTTCTGCTAGACCTAGTGTTTTGTAGAAATCTTACGCGCAATAGTATGACGTCACTATTCCAACCATCTACGTATGTGTGGAACTAAGACCGAGCTTAATATAAAGGAAAAGTTGAGGGGTGTTGGAATTACCTAGTGTTGGAATATGGTGCATTTACCCTAAATGTTTAATGAATGATGAACAATTCAACAAATGATGCTTGTGGGTTTGATAATGCATTCATTATGATATAAAAATTATGGGTAAAATACATATAAATGATAGGTGAATGATAGGTAGGTAAATGATGGGTAAATGGTAGGCAAATGATAGATAAATTAAAGGTAAATGATATGTAAGTGATTGGTTAATGATAAAAATGAAAGAAACTTGACAATTTAATTTATAAAATTAGGTAGTATTAGCCTAGGCCCTAGGCTGGCTAGTAGAAGTAGACTCCTGCATTTGGAATTTTTGCCCATATGAGACAAGAAGCTTCATCCCAGTTTGCAATAAAAACCAATACAATTTTTAGCACTCATTGGGAATTCTGTGACAATACTGACACGAGATGTCCTGGTTAAATTAAAATAGGAGGATTAAATTTTACCAGAATTTATATACCTACTGAGTTATATTTTTTCAAGATTTGCTTATGACTGAGCCCACCAACATTCACATCCTTAGGATATTGAACAAAATAGTGAACTAAAACAGGCTATTAAAACTGAATGGAGTCTAAAAAGACCCTTGTTTGCCACTATGTACAAGTACACACATCTTATTGGATGTAAATACATGAAACTATATTTTTATTATGTAAATCAGCCATTAAGTGAAACTGAGCAAGTCATAAGGCTGTAGGCTATCTGACTCTAAAAACAACCCATGGCATGCTGCAATTCTAGGATTAGTAGTCCTTATTGGGCTTGGTGGAGGGTGCCTGGTCTTGGTCCCTCTTGGAGGTAGTGACAGGCAACAGGACTTCTGACCCACTCAAGTTAGGAATTTAAATAGTTTTTAGATCATAGACAATAGTGACTTAAAATTTGTATATTAAATGTAAATTTTCCTTGAAATAAATCATGTTTTTAACTTTTTGAGATTTTGTTTTTATAATGAAGTATAGCTATATAAGTATCAATCTCAAAGTACTGGAGCCAGCGGTGCAAGTTGCCATTTTCTCAGAGCCGGCTGAACAATACAACACGTCATACACAAATTGCAATGCACAAAATAAATTGAAAAATAAAGAATTAAGCAGTAAAATATCTTATTTCCATAGTTTGCAAAATGACAATGACTGACAAAATAACTAGGACTTACTAGCATAGATTGTATGTACTACAGGTAGTGACAAGAAGAGAGTTGGACTGGGAGCTTGGAATGATGTCACATGTAATAGTTTACAAATGAATTCAGTGCCTAAAATTATGTTGTACCTCACATTATAGTCCAAATTTTAAAGCTGGGAAGATATTGATTGATTGTGATTGGACCAGCTATTACACATGTATTTGAACTAAAATTCAATATGACTTGATTGGAAACTTGAAAACCATTAAATTGATCAAGTCTCTACAGTCTGGCAAAAACTGAAAGGTATTAGGAACATACTAGTAAATTATAGACATATATAAGTAAGTCTTGTATCTCTCAATATGATGTCCATCAGATCTTTATAAAAATTGTGTATAAAAATATAAACTGGTAATTTTTTAGAAGTTATTCTGAAGAAATTAGTATTTGATTGATGATTTTGTCCTGGTGGTGATCAAGTTTATTTGCTAACCAATGTTTAGACTCCTTGATAATGAGATAATGTCCATTGCCATTATTGGCTTCTATTATCATGGCTATAACCTAAATTTACAAAAGATTTGCACATTGTAACCATGAGTTTATAAGATAGCTTATGCCCATATAATTTTGAATAGCACTATTATTGATGTCTGAAGTAAACATTTTCTAGCATCAAATACCCAGAAGCCAGTTTTTTGAAGACATTAATAGGGATAATTTAAGCTTGAAGTCATTGAGAAATATATTGCTTCAAATTACTAAATATATATTCCCAGCTCCTTCCTAAAGCTTGATCTTTATTCATCTATATTGTGTTATTTTTTTTTTCAATTATTGTCCATTGTTTGGATTTGAGTTGATGAATCTCTCCTATAATAAACCATTTCTCTGTGCTCTTTTTTCCCAATTGAAAAGCAATTTTTTTTAAAATGAAAAGTACTTGAGTATGCCCTTGAATTAATGCATTATTTTTCTACAGTGAAGTGTTGGTGGTGTTTTCAGCTCGGCATTTGCTCCTATTGATGTATACAAGATATATTTCCCTCTATAGGTAAGTACGTACATATTATGTGTAAATTCTTTGCGTTCCCTTTGAATGTTTCAATATTACAAAATTTAAGGAAGCCTAAATTTTTTGATGAGTAAATTAAAGGTCTTTATGAATTTTCTGTCTTGTGCCATATCAAAGACCTACTTTTTATTTATTCATAATAACTTCTGAAGAAATAGACTAAATTTAATGGATTTGTTGGAACTATCACTGGAATTTGAAGTAAACCCATGGCACGGTAGTCATCTCTTTATGTTATAATCATATAAGACTAGCCCACCTTATATATAAATTAAAATGATCTAGCAAATGCCATCAAATGATAAGCATCCAATGAGAAACACTCATGTTATTTGAATAACAATGGGACAAGAGCAAGCTTGTGTTTATAGAATTCACAATTGCTGAATTCACAATTGCTGAGAAAGTGAGAAGTAGTCATGCTATTATAAAAACGTGTGGTATATTTATGATCGAGCTATTTGCAATGGCTGATGAGAAGTAGTCATGCTATTTTAAAAACGTTTGGTATATTTATGATCAAGCAATTTGCAATGGCTGATGAGAAGTAGTCATGCTATTTTAAAAACGTTTGGTATATTTATGATCAAGCAATTTGCAATGGCTGATGAGAAGTAGTCATGCTATTTTAAAAACGTGTGGTATATTTATGATCAAGCAATTTGCAATTGCAGATGCAAAGTAGTCATGCTATTATAAAAATGTTTGGTATATTTATGATCAAGCGATTTGCAATTGCAGATGAGAAGTACCTAGTCATGCTATTATAAAAATGTGTGGTATATTTATGATCGAGCAATTTGAAACTGCAGATGAGAAGCAGCCATGGGAGCTCTACTAGAGAAGCCCAAGACAGAGAAGCACAGCGAGGCAGGGTCAGGCAATGGCTTGCGCTACGGCCTCTCCAGCATGCAGGGCTGGAGGATAGAAATGGAGGACGCACACACAGCTCTGGCAAATCTCCAGGGCGACCTCAAGGTCTTTTTTATTAAATACAATTGATTTTTTAGCAAGGATATTAAATAAGAACTGGCTTTAGCACTTGTGTGTAATTGTATATATTGGTCTGTGATAAAAAATTAGGTCATTTCTGAATTTGTCTACAATTTTCTTTCACATATTGCAAGATTTTTTTTGGTTTGCTGCTGTTATACCTTAACCCATTAGCGGGTAATTTACCAAATATGGTCACTTAAAATCTTTCAAAAGAGGATAGCTTGTCCCATTGTGATTGTGTCTATGTTATCACACCTCTGCCAATCTCCAATCATCTGCCCATCCATCCATACATGGCATCACCCATGGCCAGGAATTAAAATAGCTTCATTTAAATGGAAGTTATGTCCCAGAAAATTAAGTTGATGCTCTCCACATTTTTTACAAAGTTAGAAAAAGCAATATCAATTCAATTCATTTAAAGTAGCTTGAGAAGGTTAAATCAAATAGCAGCTTGTTAGTTTCCCTATGCATTTGAATTAATAAATTAAAAATTTCAATTTGTTTTAGCATCGTGATTGGATTTAATAAAATTATCCGCTACAGTATTTACTCCAGTATTGTGCAAAATTATGAAAAATGCAAAATAGTAAATTCATCGTTTAATTGCTCATATTTTCTCGCAGTGGCTCCAGAAATTCACTTTCTGCACATTTCTTCTATACTTGCCTGCAAAAGGGTTAAGTAGAAGTAAATTGTTATCAATTATTCAAGGGTTTGGTAAAAGTCTGTCACTTAGATTCTAGCTTAGCTTGAAAGCCTATTTAACAGCCTTGAGCTTGGAATCATAACCAAGCTAAACGAATGCTTGAAAATTTATACAATTATAATGTTCAATTTCATACATTAAATATTTGGGACAGAAATAAATTCGTATCTTCAGGTTCCTGGAAAGCATTTGCAGATGTTAAATTTTCCTATATTTTTAGTCAAATTTTTAACCTGTGTTTTGGAAGCCTCGGCTATTGCCTTGTAAAATTTTGAAGCAAAATTCTCTCATAGTAATATATCAAGCAAACTTCTGATACTGCATTTATGCCCTTTTTTATTCCTGAATCAAGTTCAGTTGTGGGATTCTTAAATATATACATATACTATAGCGCAGTTTGTGAAGGACTCCAATAACTAATAATGCTCATGGCTGAATTGATTATTCTTGCTCATTTGATTTAGTACTCAGGTTTGATTTAGTACGTGTATTCAAAATTGATGCAGTCAATAACCATGGAATGTATAATGAGGACTATTGTTATAAATAGTGCCAGTTTCTCAAATATCTTTGGGGGCATTACAGAAGTGGTCGTTCTTTGGTGTGTTTGATGGTCACGCTGGAGCCAGGGTATCCGCACACTGCAGCGAGCATCTCCTGCACAGCATCATGGAGGAAGAACAACTCAAAGTATGTCTTGCTAACACTTTTTAGTTTGTAAATGTAAATAGCATTTGTTTATATGTATTCTTATCAAGTGTTACGGAGTAGCAGTCACTGGCAACACTGGTGCGACACCTTGTTATTCCACAACTGAAAGGTGGCTATCCTGCAATCATTCAGTGCATCATGTATGGTAATAGCATTTATATAGCTGCTAAATCATTGCCACTATTAATTTCTATATTTCAATGATAAGGTAGATATAGTTATTGAAGCACCATCCATAGCTATGCTGCCAATAGTAAAGTTTCTTTTGTTGCCACTTTCAAATCATGCTCCTATACCTTGTGTTTAGAAATTATTTTAAGTGTGCTTGAAATTAGCTATCCATGACCTTAACTAAACCCCAGGTATTGTATGCTATCGATCACATGCTATATACTCTGATAAATAAATGGGTTAAATTTCCAAAATAGTGATAAGCTTTCTAAGTTTGGCATTGATATGCCTATTTGCCCAGTCTAGCTAGTATAAGCTGCACCATGCAGAAGTGTAGGGTAAAGTGCTATGAGGACAACGAGTCAAACATTTCTCTGAGTGTGTGTTTAATAGCATTGCGGATGTGCAGGCCAAACTCCTGACACAGACGGGGTCGCAGGAGGAGGAGGATGAAGTGGAGATCGTGAAGGCGGCCATCACACGAGGATTCCTCAAGCTCGATGACGCCATGAGACAAATGCCCGAGGTATTGTATTTTTGCTTTTATTGAACCTTGATTATCATGATTTGTATTGTTGGGATTTGGCGTGAGACAGCCTACACTTTATGCTGGAGGGTAGTACTGTTGTCCATTGATGGTTATTGATAACCCTTGGGACCTTGTCATACCAAGAAGCCTGCGTTGTGCAGGACAGCCACCACCCGATCTGGCTCAGACCAAATTTGCGCGACCAATGTAATGCAGGCCCGGAACCTGGGTGCTGCCAGCTCTGGGCACTCCAGCGGAATATATTTGAGTCTGGGCAGTGTACGACATTGGGGTCATAGGTCTGAGGGAGTGTTGTCCAGACGGTGTTTGTAGGCATATAGTGAGTGATGGTGGCCATAGCAGAATCTGCTGAAGTGCACCCTGCCTGCACGGTTTTACTGCTGTTTTGTGTGGCTGATGTCTGGTGGTGTGTCTTCTATAATATTGTTATTGGTGGATTTGAGAGTTTGTTCCAGCTTAAATCTGCGTGTGTATGTTTGATGAAGTTGGCTAGGTTGGTGGGCGGAAGTATGGAGTTGAGTATTGTGAGGTAGTAGTTATGTGGAGTGTTAGCTATTTGTCTGGGTGTTGGGGGTAGGTGCTGAAGGTGATGGTAGGGGCTAAGGGGATTGTAGAGTGCTGATGCAAGGAATTGGTTGCCTTTCATATCTAGGTGTTCTTTCAGAAGGAGGACCTTGGTTTCTGCATGAACGTGGCTGGATGGTGTGGTTTGGGTGCTGCCAAGTACGTTTCTGTACTTGGCCGCGCAGTGCTGTGTTGTTTGTAGGTGGTTGCGAAGTGTGGGTGAGATAACGGGAGCCCAGGCTGAACTGGCTTAGTCCAGTTCTGAGCCTATACCATATTGTTTGTACACTTTTGTCAGGGTTTCTTTGTTCTGTCAGAATGTTGTTCCTGTGAGAGCTCTAAGTGTGTTTAGCTTAAGTCTGTAATTTGTTTTTATGTTCTACATGTGTGGCCCGAAAGACATGTAAGTGTTGCAAGTAATACCTAGAATCTCGTTTTCATGTGTGTGTGGTATGATGGTGTTGTTTAGAGTGACTGTGTGTCTGTGTTGATGCTCCTTTGTGTGGCTTGTTAGTAGCGTGCATGTTGATTTAGTGGGGGCTACTTTGAGTCTGTTGCGTGCTAGCCAGCCCTCTAGTTGTGTGATGTAAGGTTGTACTTGTGTGGAGCATGTGTTAGCATTGGTGTGTGTTGATGTAATTGTGATGTCTGCATAAGACAAAATGCGAGTGTTGTCTGGTGGGGCTGGAATGTCATGCATGTAAAGGTTGAAAAGTGTTGGTGAGAGGACTGATCCTTGGGGTACTCCGTTTGGTATGTTCTTTGTGTGTGATGATGTGCCATTGTAGTGAACGAATGACTGTCTGCTTAGTAGTTGACAAGCCAACGTTTGGTGTTGTTATGTAGTGTTGTATTGTAGATTTTGTCTATGAGTAGGAGGCGCGGTATGGCATCATTTCTCTGCTAAAGTCGATTGTAATCAGGAGAGTGCAATGCGCGGAGCGCTTGTAGTTCATACCGTCGTGTATGCGTCGGAGTCAATGCCTTTTGTATATGTTGTGTGAGGTGGGCGAGGAGTGTGGTGGTGGAGTGATGGGTTCTGTAACCGTGTTGTGTGGGTGAGAGGGGAATGTGAGGCGTGGTTATGGAGAGTATGAGGCGCTCTACAACTTAAGCTGATGTGCAGAGGAGTGTAATGGGCCTGTAGGAGGCTGCCTCTGTGGGAGGTATGTTTGGTTTCAGGAGGGTATGATTATGCCAGTTTTCCAGATTGATGGTATGATGCAGTGGGCGTATGTAAAGTTGGATATATTTGTGAGCGTGGTGATGCTAGTGGGCCAAGGTGCTTAAGATGAATGTTTGAGATGTTGTCTGGCCCCATGGCTGAAGAATTTTTGAGCTGTTTTATGACGCGTGAGGTGTCTGATGTCGAGGCAAGAATGTTAGTGTTGTCAAGTGAAAATTTGTGCTTGCGTCTGTGAATTTGTCTGTCTGCTCTGCGATTTGGCAGATGACTGATAATTGCAAGGTGGTTTCTTTCTATGTTGGACTGATGTTACCGTGAAAATATGGTATCCGAGGCGGAAATTGATGAACGAGTCGCCTGTTGGTGTTAGTGAGACTGTGAATTGTTCTATATAGTTTTGAGGAGACGGTGCTGTGGTTTATAGTGTTGCCATAAACTGCTCCTAGCATTGCTTCTGTTTACTTATTAATGAAATTTTCATTTGATGTATTTAGTTTGTGAATGTGATGTATGGTTGCCTGTGATTGTGGTGACGCTGTGTGTCACAAGTTCTGCCGCATTCTGATGTTCTGGTCTATGGGGAGAGAGGGCTAGAGGGAATGTCAGGTTGCGTCATTTGAGCTACGTGATGTGAAGGTTGAAGGCCCTCCTAGAGAGGTCTCGCCGCGACGTTAATGCGCCGCCAATAGCGAGTCCATCGGCGGTTGCCGATGGTTAAGGAGCAAAGGATCAGGTCTGCTTAGGTCGCGTTGAGACACGGAGAGAAAAGGAATCTAGAGACGGCATCTCTGTTAGGAACGGAGGTGATTCTGAGTGCTACTGGGCAGTCAGATTTGAATTGGTCGGATGGTTTTGGAATTGTGATAGGAGGTAGAAGCTCTCGTCATCCCTCGCTGATCTGAAGTTTATTATAAATGCTGCAAGGAGAAACATGTGAAAGGCAGTCTTAATAACGATCATATTATTTTTTCTGTTGATATCTGTCTTTTAGGTGGCGAGTGGCGAAGACAAAAGTGGCACCACTGCGGTATGCAGTTTGATTTCACCCACCCACGTCTACGTCGCCAACTGCGGTGATTCTCGTGCTGTGCTCTACCGAAAATCCGGCATCGGCTTCAGTACCAAAGACCACAAACCTTTCAACCCGTGTGAAAAAGAACGCATCCAGAACGCTGGTGGCTCAGTCATGATCCAGAGGGTGAACGGCTCACTCGCTGTTTCTCGAGCCCTTGGTGATTTCGAGTACAAGAACGTGGAGGGCAAGTCCCAATGTGAACAGCTCGTCTCCCCTGAACCTGAACTTTACGTCGAGAGGAGAAGAGACGACGATGAGTTTCTTGTGCTTGCTTGTGATGGCATATGGGATGTTATGACCAACGAAGATGTTTGTAATTACGTTAGGTCAAGGTTCTTGGTCACCAGTGACGTCGAGCTTATCACCAACCAGGTTATAGATACCTGCTTTAATAAGGTAATTTGCTCAGGTTATAGTACCTGCTTTATTGAGGTAATTTGCTCAGGTTATAGATACCTGCTTTAATATGGTAATTTGCCTAGGTTATAGTGTACTTGCTTTATGAAGGTAATTTGCCCAGGCTGTAGATACCTGCTTTAATAAGGTAATTTGCCTAGGTTGTAGATACATGCTTTAATATGGTAACTTGTTCTGGTTTTTATTACTAAATCAAGCCACATATCTGTTGAACCTTTGGTGAAGTTTGCCAAGTTCTAAGCTACTTTATTAAAAATAAGCCAGAATCAATTAATAAGAATAACCATTGAGGACATCATGATTAAGTCGTCCCTATTACCCAGCGAAAATTAATAATTCACATTGTTCAATATGGCGCGAACTTAGCATTATGGTTACGCTTCTCCGGTACTGGACTAGCTTAACATTACATGCAAGTTCTATGACATCTACTATCCAATCAGATGACATCTGCTATCCAATGTGATGACATCTACTATCCAATGTGATGACATCTGCTATCCAATGTGATGACATCTACTATCCAATGTGATGACATGTACTTTGTTATTAGAAACATACTGCGATTGTAATGACTGTGATGTGTGCAGGGCAGTCGCGACAACATGAGTGTGGTGATCATAGCGTTCCCCAACGCCCCGAAGGTGGACGAGGCCGCCGTTGCTAGGGACGCCGCCCTTGATGCCGCCATTGAGAAGAAAGTAACAGGTGCGAACTGAATTTGAATTGTACACTCAGAAACATTGATAGAGTTCTGTCCTAATAGCGATGCACTTCTTGCCCTTGTGTGGTGCATCTCACTCCGTTTTTCCTGCAAAAATAAAAACTTTTTTTGTGTCACTTTTAGGACAATAGGATCCGATTTATTTTTCTGGGTTTATCTCTCATAATTAGAGAATGTTAATACTATGAGTTAAGTTAGCTGTCCCACTAGCCACGTGCTGCTGTTTAAACTATCAAATGTTATCTTTGATAAGAAGCAAGCATGTTTTAGTATAATGGATTATTCGCTTGTTTTGCCTACTTCTTGATTTCGGTTGCAATGAGAATTTTCAATGAATGATGAATGTTTTCGAAATGAATCCTGAGTCCTGACTGAATAAGATGTAAACTTTTTAAAATTTATTGTAAATTATAGTATTCATTTTTTTATACTGTGTCTACACTAGTTTCTTGTAAACAGATGCTTTAAAAAATTTTTTTTCGGGAGGTGAAATACTTTCGATTTAAATGTTGCAAAATAAGACAAGATCAACTTGTTATTTTTGGGTACAGTGACAATTGTGAAGTTTGTAGAAAAAATTTTTAAATGTTGCTAATTAACTAGGATGGAGTTTCTATTTCTAACTAAAGTGATGTAGTTGTGATGGTAATGTTATTAGAGGGGTTATTAAGATTTGCTAAATAAGCAAGATGAAGTCATTTCTTTACCAAATTGACATAATTATGATGATAATGTCACTATATAAGTTAATTCTGACTGTGTTGTGAGCAGAAGTGTGCAGGCGGCCGCTGTCGGTGAGTCTGCCGCAGATCATGCAGGTGCTGGACGATGAGAACCTCCCGGACCTGCCTCCTGGTGGCGGGCTGGCGTCCAAGTGAGTGGTGGGGGCTGGCGTCCAAGTGAGTGGTGGAGGCTGGCGTCCAAGTGAGTGGTGGAGGCTGGCGTCCAAGTGAGTGGTGGAGGCTGGCGTCCAAGTAAGTGGTGGAGGTCTCTTATGTGGTTTTGAGATAGCTTTGAAAGTGTGCTGGTTGCGGTGGTGATGGTGATGGTGTTATTGCACATCACTGAGGTGTTCATCATATCTGGCATCACTGAGCCGCTGCTCCGTAAGTTGTGGCCTGGGTGTGTTTGACGGTGAAATGCGTGAATTATTCTGTATGTTACGGGGTTCAGCACATCTTTCTGCGTCGTCTGTGTGCAGACTTGTGTTGCGTTATTATCGTATACTGTTATTAAATATTAGCTTTTCATATATAAAGTAATTAACGTGTTTCACTGTCCTCCTCCCTTCCCTCTACTGCTCCAGTGCAGTGTGGAGGTCATTGGGTACATGGTGATGACGTGGAGGTCATTGGGTACATGGTGATAACGTGGAGGTCATTGGGTACATGGTGATAACGTGGAGGTCATTGGGTACATGGTGATGACGTGGAGGTCATTGGGTACATGGTGATAACGTGGAGGTCATTGGGTACATGGTGATGACGTGGAGGTCATTGGGTACATGGTGATAACGTGGAGGTCATTGGGTACATGGTGATGACGTGGAGGTCATTGGGTACATGGTGGTGACGTGGAGGTCATTGGGTACATGGTGGTGACGTGGAGGTCATTGGGTACATGGTGGTGACATTCTGTCTATGTGAACATTATAATGCTTATCGAGTGATGGTGTATGGTTATGCAAGAGATTTTAATGTGTAATTAAGTTTGAGATCTCGTGACTGTGTATATTTTGGTGTGCTTGTTTAATTAATGTGTTGACTGTAGTGCAGTTAATTTTATTATTGTGTTGTTGCAGGCAGGAGTTGGTGGACAGCATCTTCCGTAAACTGCGGCCAGACTGCGCTAACTCTGTGAGTACCTGCACCTGCTACCTGCACGCACTACCTGCACCTGCACCTGCACCTGCACCTGCACGCACTACCTGCACCTGCTACCTGCACGCACTACCTGCACCTGCACCTGCACCTGCACGCACTACCTGCACCTGCACGCACTACCTGCACCTGCACGCACTACCTGCAC